ACCAAGTAATTGCAGCCTCGTTAAAAGAATGTGGAAATGACCCTTCTTGTTCTATTGTGTGGAAACCTTTGAGGAATATTGGTCTTAGCTCTTCTTTGAAGTTCTGGTAGAATTCTGAAGTGAAATAGTCTGGCCCTGAGCCTTAATTTTTTTTTGGTCTGGAGACTTTTGATGACTGCTTCTATTTCTTTAGGGGTTATGGGTCTATTTAAATTGCTTATCTGTTCTTTATTTAATTTTGGTAAGTGATATCTAAACAGAAAATTTTCCATTTTCTTTAAATTTTCAAATTTTTTGGAGTACAGGTTGTCAAAGTATGACCTGAAGATACTCTGAATTTCCCCAGGTCTGTTGTTGTGTCCCCTTTTCATTTCTGATTTTCTTATTGTGCAGGTTCTCTCTCTGTCTTTAGGTGAGTTTACATAATGGTTTGTCTATCTTGTTGATTTTTTTCAAAGAACCAAGTCTCTGTTTCATTGATTCTGTGCATTATTTTATTTGTTACTACTTTACTGATTTCAGCCCTAAATTTGACTATTACCTGGCATTACCTCTAGGATGAGTATGCTTTTTTTCTAGTGCTTTCAGCTGTGCTGTTATTTCTGTAGTGTGACTATTCCCCAGTTTCTACTTGTGAGCACTTAGTGCTATGAATTTTACTCTAGCACTGCTTTCAAAGCATCTCATAAGTTTGGGTATGTTGTGTCTTCATTCTCGTTGAATTCTAGCAAGTCTTTAATTTCTTATTTTATTTCTTCCTTGACCAATGGAGGGTACAATTGCATATTTTTCAATTTCCATGAGTTGGTACTGTTTCTGCAATTTGTGATGTTGTTGAATTTTAACTATAAACCACAAAGATTTTATAAGATACAGGAGGTTATTCCAATTTTTTGTATCAGTTGAGGTTTGTTAAATTCCCTTAGAAAATGTACCATGTGACACTGAGAAGGTCTATTCCTTTGTGTTTAGATAGTAGGTTCTATAGATGTCTGTTAAACCCAATTGAGTCAAAACTTCTGTTAGTTCATTTGTTTCTTTGTTAAGTGTCTGGCTCATGGTCCTGTCTAGTGGTGAGAGTGGTGTGTTGAATTCTCCCTCTGTAAGTGTATGATAGTTTATGTGTGATTTGAGTTTAAGTAATATTTATTTTATGAATGTGGATGCCTTTGCATTTGAGGCATAGATGTTCTTATTTGAGACTTCATCTTGATGAACTTTCCTGTTATGAATGTGAAATGGCCTTCATCTCTTTTGATTGATTTTATTTTGAAGTCTTATTTGTTAAATGTTAGGATTACTATATCAGCTTGTGTCTTTGGTTCATTGGGTTGAAAAACCTTTTCCCAACCCTTAACTCTGAGCTAATCTCTGTCTTTGAAGTTGAGGTGTGTTTCTTGTATGCAACAAAAGGATGGAATCTGTCTTCATACCCATTCTGTTAACCTGTGTCCTTTTATAGGGGAGTTAAGAACATTGATATTGAGGGACATTAATGACCATTGTCTGTTAATTCTTGTTTGTTTAGGGTTTGTTGTTGGTGGCAGTATAGTGTGTGGAATTCTACACCCCCTTTTTTCTTTAGGCTTTTGGTAATGAGTGATTATCTATTGCCTATGTTTTTTCGAGTGTACTTAACTTGTTTGGGTTAGTGTTTTCCTTCCATTACTTTCTGTAAGGCTGGATTTCTGGACATGTATTTTTTATATCTGTTTGGGTCTTGGAATATCTTGTTTTCCCATCTATAGTTATTGAAAACTTTGCTGGATATTGTAGTCATGTTGGCATCCATGGTCTCTTACCCTTTGTGGAACATATATATATCTTGGTTAAAGGATATCTATCTAGGGTAAAGACTTCAATGTCTGCAACTCTACATGGTCAGAGTTCCCTTGAAGTTCTTAAGCAGAGAGTGTAGGTGGCCAAGACTGTAAAGAGGGCAACTCTGGATGATGTGGCATACTGGGGCAGATCCACTCAAGCAGAGGGCGTGGGGGGGCAAGACTCAAGCAGAGGGAGTGGAGGGGCAAGACTGTGCTCAGTGCAGTCTCTGGATGGTCTGGCGTGGTGGGGCAGGTCCACTACAAAGAGTGCCAACCCAGGAAGTTCCAACGAGAGGATGAGAGATGCTGGACCTGAGCAGGCCGCACACTCACTTCAAGTGGAGGGAACTGGGGGAGTAAAATTACAAGGTGGGCAATCTCTAGGTGGTCCAGCATGCTAGGGCAGGTCCACTACTCATGGAGCCGAGCTAGGAAGTTTGAAGAAAAGGAGGTGGCAGTTGGATCTGAGCAGACCCACACTCACCTCAAGCTGAGAACAAAGATGGGACTAAGACAAGAGATCATGTTTACCCACTAGCGTTGTACCTAAAGTTTCACCATTTGTAGAATCTTCGTTTTTTTTTTAAATTCCAAATGTATTTTTTTTTTGGTTTTTACGAGACAGAGTTTCTGTGTATTGTTTCGGAGGCTATCGGTCCAGCCCGGCCTCGAACTCACAGAGATCCGCCTGCCTCTGCCTCCCGAGTGCTGGGATTAAAGGCGTGCGCCACCACCGCCCGGGCCAAATGTATTTTTTTTAACATTCAGCATCTCACTCTCTTCTGCATGTTGACATTTCTGATATAAGCTGTGTTCATAGCATTTTGCTGCTGAATGAGATGACTAATGCTGTAGGCTGCTCTCTGAATTCTCTCACTACATTTGTCACATGAATTATGGTGTGTACTGGTATGGTTCTCTCTGAGATAATCACAAATTAAATTAAGTCAGTATGGTAGATTTATAGTTCTTACATTTTATCAATCCAGGAAGGCGAGACAACACTTTTTTCCCAATAATCTTACCCCTCACAACAAATTCTTCAACTTCTCTTCTTTATTGTACCTCTGGGCTTCAGTGATGACTGAGTAATGTTATTGAATCCATTTCCATCATTTTATCTCATTATTTTAGAATTTGCTAAATCTTATGTGGTCCCTGTCCATGGCACTTCTAAGTTTTTTACTTCTCCACTCACCAATGCTATTTTTTTTATCATTTTTTATTTTAATTTTAAATAGCTTGTTTTACATGTCAATCCCAGTTCCCTCTCCCTCCCCTCCTCCCGTACTCCCCTTCCCCCCCAGTCTCCCACCCTATTGCCAAATCCTTCCACATAGGGGATATCTAGAGTCTGTCATTTCACTCTGGGTAGGGTCCAGGCACTCCCCTAAGAGTCCAGGCTGAGAGAGTATCCCTCTTTGTGCTATGGGCACATGAAGACTGTTTGTATTCCAGGGATAGACACTGACCCACAGCTCAGGGCCCCATAGGTTGCCCAGGCCTTCTCACTGACACTCACATTTGGGGAGTGCAGATCAGTCCCATGCTGGCCTCCCCGCTGTCAGTCTGGGGTTCAAGAGCTCTCCCCTGTTCAGATCAGCTGTCTCTGCTGGTTTTGCCAGCCCATTCTTTGCCAATTTGCTCATCACTCCTCTCTCTGTCACTGGGTTCCTTGGGTTCAGTTCAGTGATTAATTGTGTGTTTTCCTCTGCTTCCATTAATTACTGGATGAAGGCTCCCGGATGGTTATAGACATCAAGTTCATTATCAGGAATGGGCATTCGAGGTGGTCTCTCCACTGTTGCTTAGCTTGCCAATTGGTGTTATCCCTTTAGATCACTCGAGGTCACTCTGGTGCCTGATCTGTCTTCTAACCTATGATTCCCTCTTCCCCCTATTCTACCCCCACCCAATCAACTTCCTGTTCCCCCATGACCTACTCTCTTTTCCTCTTCTATTTTATTCCTTCTTAGTTTATCTCCATTAGCTATTCTTATTTGGCTATCCAGACTCTTGACTTTTTTAGTACTTTTCCATAGATTTTATTGATCTTTTCATGTTTCCTATAAATGCTGTAGTCTTGCTCCTTTAGAATAATACAGGGAAGTGTAGTCCAGTCATACTAGCTCACCAAATTCCTGGCAAAAAGAGGAAAGAAGTGTCACAATTGTGGGAGTGAAGGTACTGAGGATATAACATTGGAAAGACAGGTAACAAGGAAAAAGACATCCAGATGACCACATCATATACAAAGAAATAAACAGGCCCTCTTGTAGAGTGGGGTGCTATCACAACATGCTAATTACCTTGTCATAGCAAACTAGAACTTCTGACCTCCAAAACATGAAAAAGAAATCTGTTTCTGTTGTTTTTAAAAACTAACTTTATAACAATATCTTACTTCAGCCTTCAAGTGTATAATGTTGGATCTGGAGAGCTGGCTCAAGAATTAAGAGCACTTTCTACTTTTCTAGAGAACCAATGTTTGATATTCAGCATGCACATGGTGGCTCAAAACCATCTGTAACTTCAGTTGGAGGGCATCTTGGATACCTTAATGCCTTACTTGAGCATCAGGAATGCATTTGATGCAACAATATACCTGCAGGCAAAACATCCATAAACATAAAATTAATTAATTAATCAATTACTTAATGCGATTATAGTACACATTTTAAAATGAGTAACTTAGACTGAGGCTTTATTTCTCTAATTAAGGTGTATGTTCTTTTATATTGGGAGCTATCTATATGGTATTATCACTAAATCAACACTATCCTGATCCTGGCACTTGACCCCGAGAATCTTGTAATCAAATACACATCTCAGTAACCATACAAAGCACTTGAATTCATGTCTCACTAGTCAACAACAGTCAAGCAATCACATCTGACTAATACTACTACACAAGTAGTGTCTCATGCCATGTGAGCAGAGAACTGAAATCAAAACAGATACTGGAAGAAGCATGAGCATTTGAAACAGAATTGGGACTTCAATCAGGATACTGCCAAGTTCTTAGTGTCTCTGTGATTCATTATCTCATCTTTGCAATATTTCATTAAGGAACCCAGGTGATGTGAACAATGACCACATGCATGTTATGCTCTAGTAAGTAGCAGCGATCATAAACTTGAAGAGCTTACAGGTTCCCTTTAAGATGAGTACTAATGGATGTTTCCTGCAGGAGCAGCCACGGAAGAGCTGAAGGTGATTCAACCTGAGAAGTCAGTTTCTGTCTCTGCAGGAGAGTCAGCCACTCTGAACTGCACTGTGACCTCCCTGCTCACTGTGGGACACATTGTGTGGTACAAGCATGTAGGACAACATCAGCAGATTTTCTATAGGTTCACAGGAGAGCAGTTCCCCAGAGTCCAAAATGTTACAGATGTTTCAATGGGAAATAATATGGACTTTTCCATCCTCATCAGTAATGTCACATTTGGGGATTCTGGCAACTACTACTGTGTGAAGCACAACACATCAGGAAATGACACTGAGCCTCAGTCTGAGGGAGGCACAGTGTTGTATGTTCATGGTGAGTACTGCCTTGTCCTCTTCATCTTCCTATCTCCAACAGATCAAAATGTGTCCAAGATTCTGTGAGCAAAAAGGTAGAAGCAAGTCTATAAGTGACCCTCATTTTCATAGGGTGATGTTACCCTAACTGTGGACCAAGGAAGCAGGGGCTTATGCATGTTATTGGCTAGAGGTCCTCCTTCTGGTAAATGTGAGTAAATTCACACCACTGTATGTCTGCCCACTTGTGCTTACCTTTCTCAATCTCTCCTGGCCTAGTGTCTGCATGAAGACCCTGAATGCTGCCTGTCTTGTCCAGTGAGAGGGTCAGACCTGTCCTACCATCTCCAGAGTGGACTTCTTCATATGAGAAAGTCTTCTCTTTCTGCCCTAAAGTCTTAGGGTCTAGTTGTGCCAGGTTCCACTCTAGATGTCAATGGAGATGCCAGGAAGCATGCAAGCAGGAGATCTTTATCCAATATGTGTTTCTTCTCCCTCATAAAAGGAAAGCACATCATCACAGAAAATCACAGGGGCATGTCTAGGTGTGCATTTCTAATTTATCCTTCATCCACAGAACACTGAGAATTTTCAGAGTGTGCCAGCTTTTACTGTGGAATCTCTCAGCCCTGGTTTAGACTTCAGCACTAAGCTAGGCATTTGTCATTGGTATGTCTGAAGTTGTTTTTTTTTTTTTGTCAGAGACAAGTTCTGACAGGCACTGAAGCTCAGAGCAATGCAGGCAGATACCCTGGACAGTGTGACCAAGTAGACAACCTCTAATCACTAACTGAGACATCAGGACACTCACTTGGACTTTCCTGACAGAGGCATGGATTCTGTCTTACTAGCTCGTGATTTTTGGAAAATGCAGCAAAAAGGACAATAAGATTATTAATTTCAACCCTGTTAAGATATAAAACTTTGTGTTCCAGTGTCTTGTCCATAATCCCATAGCCAGTAAGTGCTGGTATCTGGCCTTGAGCCCACACCTGAATCCACATCAGCTTCTTGCTGTCTAATCCAGAGATGTAATTTCTACATAGGAGCCACTTGCATAAAAGACTCAGAAGTAGAGTTTTCTGAAATCACCTGGTAGCATTTTGATTCATCATGTCCCCCATGTTTCAAGATGTTGCTCACACAGATGCTAATATTCAATAGTGATAAGAAAGTAACCCCAATGTAACTCATACTCACAGCCCACACTGGAACTGAGAATTGTTTCCTGTGAAAAGATAGAGTATAATATTCACACAGTTAGAGACACTCTAAATCAAATTTTAGATCATCAATGTTTTCATTTGTTTGTTTTGTGGGTGCTATTGTAGTATTAATGTGGATAAACTCATGTAGCCACCATCCTGGATGTAAGGCACATTCCCTCTGGAAGAGGGCTAATTAATTAATAAGGATATTACAAATTTCCCACATTGGTGTAGCAGTTCAAGTCTTCTCACAACCCCTCAACAAAGAGATATATGGAGATTGACTTCATACTGACTTTATAGACATCATAAATCAGTACACAGAAATTCTAGGTAATACAATGTTTAGGCAATCAGAATCATCAGGTGATTCAGGTAAGATGGAATCCCTAGCCTTCCAGGGATTCAAGCTTCAACTGCCATATTATTTGACCTAAGAATGCCCTTGATGCCCAAGTAGGTAGAAGAAGGGGAAGAAAGCAGCAATGTGCTATGTGTGACATCTATGTTATTGCATTTTTCACCCTAAGCATGTGATATAGGAGTGAGGTCATTTGTTCCCCTTAGAGAATAAAACCCCCAGGTTCACAAGGGCAGTAGGTGAGAAAGAATCAATATTTGACTATACCATTCTGCCCTATAGAGTAGCACAGCATAGATGCTACACTAACGAAAACTTATTCTCAGCAGCAGACACAGACTAGAATTACCTTCTGTGAAGTCTTGAAATGTGATCTGTCTATGGGGAAGGAGAAAGATGGATCTGCAGGAGCATCAGAGCTCTAGATCTAGAGCCTACTGTCCTGAGACATTGGAGCAGAGATCTGGTTTAGAATACTTCAATTCAAATCATTAGAGAAGAAGCACCAGAGTCAGTAGCAGAGTAAATGAAAGTGAGGGCACAGGAGATGGCCTCTGAGACCCAGAAGGGAAGAGGAGACAGAGTTTCTGCTTCAGCCTCAGTGTCCTCTTCTGTGACATGGTGATAACCACACATCCTTTAGAGGGAAGGTTTCATCCACTGTATAACATCTGACACAGCAACATTCCCAAACCCGGTGGAATGATAGTTGCCCAACATTAGGTAACTTATTGAATATGAACCTCAGTTTCCCCTTCTGTAGAATGTGGATACCTTCACCCAACTTTCCAGTATGCAATGAATTCCTAGGTAATTGCTTAGAGATGATCATTTAGTAAGCCATGATGAGAAAACCTTGCAGTGTGTGGAGTCCTCAGTTTCCCTTTTTGTAATGATGACAGTCATGTTTCCTGGTCAATGTTATGGACACATCCTAGATGGTGATTTTACAATTATTTCAGGGAATCCTTAGTTCAGTGCTTTGCAGGAGAGAGGATTGTGACTATGCTTCTTGATATGCATCCCAACACCATATTCTGATGTTTGCTCAGGGCAGTCCTTGACAGAAGGGTCTCATATGATAGCCTCTCCCTGCTAACACAATATATACACAGACAATATGGAAGGAGTTCAGTCATATATCACACTTAGAGAAACTACTGACATGTAGGAAGTATTTCAGCAATGTTAGTTGTGTTACTCAGAGATTATGTGACCTTGAACATTAAACTTTTCCTATCTAGTCCTTAGTTATCAATGAAGATATGGTGGGGTTGGCTCTTCTCCATCTAGACGCTCTTTGGAATAACCTTGGATATAAAGAGAAATTCCAGATCCATGTTCCTTTAAATGGTCTGTTATGACTTTTGGCATCTGAAATATCTAATGACTCAAAAAGTTCAAACAAACAGCCAGAGTTAAAAATCCACTCATACATTTTGTGAAGCATCAGGAGATATTTGTGATTAATCCCTTGACTGCTCTTCAGGTAACCAAGTTGTAGCATGACAGCCCCATATGTTTCAGAATAGTAGGTCCAAGCCTGCTATACACAACCCCTGGAAGCACAAGTAGTATGCCTGTTATATTATCCAGAGAGGAACAAATAGACCCTAAGGTTCAGCCAAGACAGAGGCCCATTCAGTTCAAATCTCAGGTCACAACTTTTCTTTTTTCTTTTCTTAAAAGATGTATTTTTTTTAAAGAAAAGAGCTTACTTCACAAGTTAATCCAAGCTCCCTCTCCCTCCTCCCGCATCCCTCCACCAACTCCCCCAGCTCTCACCCCATCCCCACCTCCCTCCAGACAGGGGATATCCAGAGGCAGTCAACTTGCTCAGGGCAGGGTCCAGACCCTCTACCAAGAGTCCAGGCTGAGAGAGCATCCCTCCCCATGTAATGGACATACGAAGTCCATCTGCATGCCAGGGACAAATACTGATCAACTGCCCAGGGCCCCACAGATTGCCCAGGCCTCCCCACCTACTCATACACTCAGGGGGTCCAGAACAGTCCCATGCTGGCTTCCCAGATGTAGGCCCAGGGTCCAATAGCACCCCTTGATCAGGCCATGTATCACTGCTGGCTTCACCAGCCCATTATTTACCCATTTGCTCATATTTCCACTCTCTCTGTCCCTGGATTTCAGGGGTTCAGGTAGTGTTTCACTATGGGAGTTTGCCTATGCTACAATCAGTCACTGGATGAAGATTATAGAGGACATATAAGGTAATCGTCAAGTTCATTATCAAGAATAGGCATTTAGGGTAGTCTCTCCACTAGTGATTATCTTGCTCATTGAGTGTTATCCTTGTAGATCGCTAGAGGTTTCACTGGTGCCAGATCTCCCTTCTAACCCATGACTCCCTCTATTATGGTACTTCTCATGCTGTTCTCCCACTAATCTACCCCAACTATAATTGTGCAGTTCTCCATTAGAATAATTTCTCTTTTAGACATTTCCCTTTCCTTCAGAACTCTATGTAAATGACACAGTAGGTCAATGAGCTCTGTCATTTTTCCTTCTCATGGTCATCAACTCTCTATAATCACCCCCTGTGGAGGAAGCGCTTGTGGTTCTGATTGTATTGTAAAAGCCACTGGCCAAGTGAGTGAAAGGATCACTAGGAAAACAGAGGATGCCAGGGCATAGAACAACAATTCACAACCTATGGGTCAGGACCCCTTTAGAAGATAGACTACAATTCAGGTTTTATTGTATGATTCATAACAATAACAAAATTAGAGTATGACAAAGCAACAAAAATAATTAAACATCTGTGTCACCATACTTTATGTAGTATAATTTGTCCACACATGTAGTCTGATCTTCATGTAATCAACAATTTGTTCATTGGAATCTGGGTAGTATTACCATTCCCAAATGCTGACTGAATAAAGTTCATCAAACCTGTAGGGACATAAGGTGCTCTAATATTTAGTTAGATTGATTAACACTTGTTTACACACCTTGTTTGATGCACATTTGATAAGGAGTCACATATGTACAACATCAAAATGGGTCTGAAGTTGCCAAATACAACATAGTAACATCAGCATGAGGCATTTACAGAGCACACTGACTTCCTTCCACTAGTCCCTCCTTATGTGTGCTTTCACCTATGGTGTGATTCTGTCTGCTCAACAGGCTGCTGTCTGTATCTGCTGTGATTAAACATCATAAAATGCACAACCGTTATATTAATCATAAGAGTATAATCACTGTTTTAAAGTCCAAACTAAATTCAACTGAAACCATTTAAAGATGCAGACCAGGTGGCTCTCAATTTTAAATTCAGACTTGGCACACATGGTACCTACTAGCACATAGGGAAGAGAAAAGAGGTCAAACAACTGGGAGAAGCATGAAGCGTTCCAGCTTTGTGACCCTACTATGATATCATTTATTTCCTGGGTGACAATGTATGTATATCTATAAACATATTTCCTG